CTTTAGGTGATTTACCAATAGCCGCATGCTAACTATTTTGATTGCTTTCATCTTAAATTGATTGTTAACGTAGAAATGTTGATCGAAAAATTTCTTAATATAATATTTTATATATATATATATTTTTTTTTATTATTTTGCACCCTACGTTTACATACACAAACGCTTTTGAATAGTTCGACATAAAAAACATGCGCTTCTCTAGTGAAAACCCTAAAATACAAATAAAAAAACAATAATAAAGAAAAAAAAAAAAGTAACTAAACTAAAGCAAAAACATGCATAGAAAACCAAAATATTTATTTAGTCAGAAGGTAAGGAAACCATATATACAAAAAATTTAAAGTGGAATAAAGAATGTATTGCAAGAAAGAGAAAAAAAATCAAATAAAAAATTAATAATAAATTATTTTTGGCCTTTGCCTTTAACTAGTGTGTCTTAGAAGCAAATACGAAAGAAATATAATAACATAATAAGCAGAAAAATAAAACCAAAAAGAAAAACAACCAAAAAAAAAAAAAAGAAATTATATAAACCCGATAGAAAAAGTAAACGCAGCCGAAGACAGTTAGCACAGATCCACTTTAAACCAAAGACCTCCAGGAAAAAGTTATGTAAAATGTATAACTAAACCTCATATAATTGTTGATGTATGTAATTATATCTATGAATAGTTAAATACTAAGAAATTCCTATGTAGTACTTCTTGTATTTGTCTGCACACAAAATCACACACATACCCACCCACCCACATACCAACATACACAAACATTATCACACACAAAAATACATACATACATACACATAAACACACAAATAAATACAAACATACACACAAACATACACACACACACACACACACACACACACCTAGAGATCTTTCATTTGCTAAAAGGCACACAAGACGCAGCAGTTAAGCTAATCATTTAATCAAACTAAAGTTAAGTTTATGTATATCGGTTATATACTTATTTCCTCCTTAACAGAAAATCCTCCATCCTAATCCCATTACTTAGCCTCGTTCTTCACGATAATACACATTACAACTATTAATATATATTTGATGTTAAGGGCAAAAAAAAAAAAAATACTGTAAAAAACAAAAGGAAATATTTAATTAAATCATGTTTAAGACGTGAAGTAATTAAAAAAAAAAAAAATGCATAAAATTTTACTAAAAGTGTATGAAATTATTAAGAATCTCATTAAATCGCTTGGAATTCATTTAGAAATATTAAAACGAGATTAAAGAATATTTATAAATAATAAAACCAACAACAACAACAACAACAATATATAATTAAACAAATATTATGGTAAGCTATGCACTCGTAGCATGGGCAACAAAAAATATTAATAATAATAAAAACAGAAAAAAAGAAAAACTATATTTAACGTAAATCTTAAAGCAAAACCAAATGAAAAATTACGTAATGTATTATGATAATAAATTAATAAATAAATAAACTATCAATTTAAAAAAAAAAAAAAAACACAAAAATCGTGTAATATTTAATTCGCATGCACATGCGCCTTTCCGAAACCAGAATCCTATACGCGTAGAATTCAATTCAAAGAGTTCACTTTCTAACAATTATCCGTGCATGAGTAGCCGAGTGAATAAGACTATACTCGGCTACCAAGTCAATGTTCACGGGTTCAAATTTCAAGTGCGCTAGCGTTTGCTCTTTGATTCTATCGTAATAGCTATAGTGAGCGCTCAGTTGGTAGAGGTGCAATACTAAAAAAATTAGCCTACGGCCAGGGGAAACTAATTAAAAAGTTACTTGGAAATAAGTCCACTCATGATTCTCAGATCTTATGAGGTAACCATACCAAAAAAACACTTACTACAACACTCTTGTGAAAACTATTGCTAATATCTTTTCCAAAAATACATGCACGAATTTAGATTGTACGCACATATATAGTAAATTAGCGATAAAAATTGCAGAGAATATAAGCGAGCAGATTTATATAGCGTGTGGCATTTGTGGCAAAACATGATGGTAATCATAAATTCATAGAATAAGCTGAGCTATTACTATTAGGTATATAAATTATATTAGGTTGAATAAAGAACTTGGAGCAGCTCTTCATATATTGCTTTGATCAAGCAATAATGTGCATTTGTCTATAAAGTGAAACAACTTTATTTATTCTTCCAAAACTCGGTATCATTATTACACTCAAATAATACTCCTTTTTAACAGTTTTACGTGTCGGAAGAAATTCGTAACACGTAACACTCCTATAAACGAAAGAAACTGTCCACATCGTCTGGATTTTTACGCATCTTTGGTGTAGTTTTTCCGATTTTAGTTTACATTTTTATTGCACAATATTCGATTCATGTGTCATTCATGGTTGTTTCCGAGTTGCATCACTTCTTTTACACTTCTTCCCCATAAATCCAAGTCATATCGTCCGTGATTATATGAATATTAATAATCGTAAAGTCTCTTTTGCTCGTTGTTACAAAACCACGTATAACTCTACACCAATTAAATATACTGACATAAATCTACATATTCTGACGTTAAAGAAAGTACTACTAATGCACAAAAAATAATTTGCTAATTTCAAAACAAGATGCGAAGCATGAATGAAAAATTCAATTTATTTTTTGCTCACTGTATTCGATCGGTGAACACCAAGTGTACCTTGTTTTGCATATAAGTTAATAAAAGACGTTCTTGTCTATTTTGGGTGAGTTTTATTGCAACAAAATAATTTCTTACATCAACACCTTAAAACTTACCCATCGGAGGAATGATATTTAATATTACTTTAAATATACTGACACTTCAAATTGCTCACGTCGCTAATCCAGACATAATCTAGTTCGCACTTGACAGAACTCAAAACGCAAGAAGCGGTTATATCGCTTTCCACATTAGTCAGAATTTAAACCATCAAATTGCTTAAAGTGTAGCTGCAGCATAATTGAATATCTCGTTAATAAGATCAATAGTAATAACTCAAAAAGTTGGTCATATGTATTTATAATCCAGACAGGAATAAATGTATGGATAAAGTTTTCCGGATGATGGACTAATTATGTAGCGAGTTTAGTGTTGATCTGCACCTTAACGATTTGCAAGCCAAACAACAATTGAGTAGTAAAGAAAAATTGATTTGCCACGGACGATGACTATAGTTTCTGATAGACCATAAAAAAGATGATCCGACTAATGGGTGATTTCGAACTCTCTGACGGTCTGACGACCGCTTTGAGACGATCATTTTTGATCGATAACAGCACTGTCAAGACCATGTTGGAGCAAATTCCATTTTCATTACCCTCGGAAATTAAGGAGTATTGATTCAGTTTAATAAACCATTTTGGGCCGTACTCGGAAACCAGGATTCTGTTTCATTCTAAAACCGGACGGAACTTTCGAATAAATCTCTTATATAAGTTAAAAATTTATCAAGCATAATTCTAGGAAAGCAGAAATAAGGTAAATAAAGATAAATTATTCCTCTAACATTACTTTGTTTAGGCATAAAATATTGCGTGATAAATCTGAACAGAATATTTTCATTCAAATTTATTGAAGCATTTAATGAACACAAAATTTATAATTCTTCGATATGAAATAATCACTAATATGAATATAAAGAGGATTTAAAAATAAACGTAAATTATATAAATGACTCTTAAAATTAAAGGAAACCGTCTTCATTTCTCCCTTTGCTTTTTTTCCTTTTTGTCTTACTTATTCGTATACATACAAAATCGTACGATTCCCAAATTTCCACAATACCTTGTAAAAAATCGAAAAACTGAATCCTCGCCTCGTAAAACGTAATTAATAGGTTCACACATAACTTGCGAGCGTTGCTAAAGCGAAAGCATAAAAATTTTGCCAAAAATTGACATTCATACATAACGTAAAGCAAGCCACATGTCTACCTTTAAATTAGTGCAATCAATTTTATTTTGACCGTTCGTAAGCCATGTACAACGCTTAATACAGTCATTGTATGGGTTTTACTTTTCATCGTCTTTTCAACCATTTTTATGTTCCATACATTAATTTTTTACATTCATTACTATTCCCTTGTTTTTAATGCCAACGATATGATAAAGCAGTCGAGTATTACATATATATGTATTAAATAAATATCTACGAAATGTCATGAAAATAAAACAGAATAAAATGAAATCAGAAAATAATTAGAAAACCTAGAAAAGTTCACTTCCCGCAAAATGACCATAGTTACGTGCCGAAGGTGACATACGCAAAACGTATGTATATGTCCATATCTTGATTAACCACCAACTTAATTATGCTCCACGCAAGGAACTTCGCAATAAAATGGATCCTTTTTAATCAACATATGTTATTATCATTTGGCGATTTGCTGGAGTTAATCATGTAAGCTACCGATTATTGCTGCGATTATCGTCTGCTGTATCAATACTAATTCAAATTTGTTCCCAACGATAACTATTTTATTGTCGCAAGATTTGACGAACACAAAGAGCGCATTTGGTGACAATCGGCAAGAGAATCTAATTAAGTTGGCAAATTTGCCAGCAATTGTCGCTTGATTACATGATTACTCCCCTGAATTGCAGAAGAAGAAGAAGAAGAAGAAATGGTATTATGTACGATCTGAAATGTTAAATGAAAACTCATGGTTCCATTATCGTAGTCGACTTTAGAGAAAAAGTAATATCAGTGTGAAAGTTATGATCGAGTGAAAATTGCTGTAGAAGTAAATACTTTGAAAAAATCGTTTGCTGATGTTCAGAATCTTGCCAAATTTTATGATACTATAAAAAACCTATATTCCCTTAAAATAATACAATGCAATGATAAAATTTGAAAGATAATTTTTTTATTTCCAATTCTTTATTTTTTTATTAAACATTATATTGTAAAAATCAAAATTGCAGATCATATAATTAAAAAAAAAATTATATGTGATAGGACATAAGAAAAGAAATATAACTTCAATTTCAAACAAATAGCTTGCATTTATTTTTCTATATTTTTTGTTCGTTTTATTGTATGTAACTGTATGATTTGTCAACCCAAGCGATGTCTACTAAAAAGTTCAAAACTTTTTCTTCCCCGATATGCCTGCAAAACTTCCATTATTTTCAATTGCATTGAAGAAGTCATATTTCAATGCTCGGTAGGGGCACATTCGGTTGTTTTAACCGAAATTTTTATTTTAATCATACCCTTTTCAAATTACTAAGTCCCACAAAGCTTTCTGATATTGCCGCTATTGGCAAAAGTTTCAATTTATGGTAATGTTGAAAAAGCTAAACTAAAACTGTCATTCTAATCAAAATACCTTTCCGTAATGGCAACTAAGTCAGGTGACATAAATAACATGACGCCAAAAAATAGTTACGATCCAACAGGGAATTCTAGTAATAATGTTGAGGAGGCCGATTTACAAGGTAAGTCTTTCCTTGCAATCTAGAAGAAAGAGTATAAATGCAATACAACTAATTCATCGATTATCCAAAACAGAAATAAGTGCAGTAAACGAAAGCCTCGATGAGCTGAGCAATGCTTTGGACTTTTTCGAGCAACGCACCGATAACATTATTGAACAGTTACAACAGTTATTGCATTCAAATCGTGAAATACGCCAACAGCTGGCCATGGAAAAGGCTGAACTAAAAGATTTTGATATGGAAGAACCGTAATTAGGAACACGTATTAAATTGATGAAATAAGCAAAATATTGTATAGCGGACAAGTATCAAACTGTTTTCTGTTACTTAAAATTAAAAATTAATAATCATTTCCCTAGTGTATTTAAATATAGAATTCATTAGGAACTTTATTTATGATTGCGTAGCAATTGTTTAGCGGAAATCTCAAACAAATTTTTATTCACGGAATGCAAATGCCTCACCTCCTTTCGAAGTGATTCCAATTCGTTTTGGTTTGCGCTACAACTAGAATCATAGACTTTCGAACTGCTGTTCTTTACGTGTGAAAAATATCTGTTTTCATCATTCTCTAAATCGTTAGCCGTAACCAATATTTCAATAACCTCATCCTCATCGGCTTCTACAGGATCCATCATACGTTTTAAATTAGCTCGAAATTCTAAAGGTTGTTTGTGCTCTGGATTAAAAATCATAGTATTCATTAATTTAAGGCACAAATTTGTTATAGCACCCTTGTGAGTGAGAGTTCTAACTAACTGCCGACTGGGTATATTCCATACCAATATCTGACCGTCGCTGGCACCTGAAACTAAAGTCTGACCATCCAAAGATAATGCCAAACAGTTTACAATACTTGTTGTTGAATGACCGCTAAACGTTTTATTCTCCTCTTCTTTATGGTATTCCTAAAAAAACAAAAAGTGGCATAAGTCGTTCAATCTGAATTTGTTTAAAATAATTTCACCTTAACTCTTGGTATGCTGTCCGTATGCACTTGAAATATACTGCCGGCATTTGAACCTACAAACACTTGTGTCTCCAAACCATTAACAGTCAAACTTTGCAAGCCCTCGTTGAATACTACATTCAGCAACAATGAACCATCACTTAAGTCATAGATCTTACTTGACCTATCCAAAGATACCGTATACATGTAGCATCGCATGCCTCCAGCTCCAATATGAATGTCAGTAACTGGTAAACCATGATCATTAAAGCTATACAAAGGTTGCGTGTTTTCATTATCAAAACTGCGCGACACGGCACGAGTTAGATTCCAAACCAGTATGGTACCATCTTTGCCACCACTAGCAAAGTGTGAACTATCGTCGGTAAAACGTATACAAGTTACAGTTTGATAATGCTTAGTCAAAATGCTCTTCATCCGTCCAGTTGCTTTATGCCATATGTAGAGAATTTCCTGAATGCCGGCAACCAAATAGCAATCATCTGGCGACAAAGCCAATGCCGTCACGGTACCAGGCATTACAAATCTAACTGTTGACAATTGTTCTTGCGCATTTATAGGCCAAACGTGAAGCAATGGTTTTGATACGTTTGCTGCCAACACATACTGGGAATGATAAAGGCAAAGAGTTCGCGATGCAGCTCCACTTCCCCCACCTTTATAGTTCATCAAATTTGTGCCCGTACGATAATCCCAAGCACTGCATGTTACTTGATGATCATTTGTATCGCTAGCGAACAAGACCTCCAAAATATTATTTTCCGACATATCTATTAAATTAAAATTTTTCTTTTAATATTTAAATACAACACGTGCATGCAAGCATTATTCGATTATATATATTGTTCGATTATTGCAAAGTTATCGATATATTGTATGCTTGCTTTAAATATCAAAACAAATGTTTATCACATCAAAATATCTGAGTGTCTGAACAAAATTGATAATATTGTAAAACCATCTTTATTTCACAATCAACAATCGAAATAACACGATATATTTAAGCAAACGGCAGCTGAAGATTTTTCTGATCTACATATTTGATATTACTGAGGATGTTCACTTAGTTCAATTTGAAGGGGACAATAAACTGAATTAAAAAATAATAATAATTGATATAATTCTTTAGTGGTTTCATCTTCAAGTGAAATATTATACTATTATTTTAATTTATAATCTCGTAAACTTCTTTTCAAAGAATATACCTTAAAGAGTTTTTCTTTCTTTTATTTCTGGATTTTTGATAAGTGTTCCCCGGGATAGCATCGATAATACCTGAAATAATGTCAACCTGTCTTCCCAAGGAGACAGTGTCCGAGGAGATTATTGTAGATGAAAATGTCTTTAAGAATAATTATTTAAATATTACTAAACGAGAGACAGAGTTGAAGTATGTGAAAATGTTGATTGCAAACGTAAGAATATCCCCTCCGATCTTTTTTTTTATGAATGCCTTAAGAGTTTTGAGATGTTCGGCTTAAAAGAACTCAAAACGTTTAGCAAGGGCAAAGCTAGGGTACTTTTTAACAATGCTCTCAACGCCAACTCTTTCACCAAAAATAATGATTTTAAAAAAAAGAACGAGAGAGCTTACATTCCCGGATGTTGCACGGAAAGGTTTCTTATTGGCCGAAATCTACCTATAAATTACGACCTAAACGAAATTATTGAAAATGCGGTGCCTGATGCTCCGATTAAGTCTGCTATTAAACTTCGGAGGAGAAATCCAGACGACAAGAATGAATTTGTTCCGATCACCAGCATGAAAATTGACAATAAGGGAAAATCCATCTCTAAGTTTATTAAGTTCAACTTTCGTATCCTTTCGGTTGACTGTTTTATTCTCACCTTAACACAATCTTCTAAGTATGATAGATTTGAACATATTTCAAAGTTTTGCTGCACTAAGGAGATTGACAAATGCGTAATGATTGAACGACTGGCTTGTTGTTTAAACGAACACAATTCTTTCTTTTATAAAGGTCTTTTTTGTGTGAGGGTCTTATGTCTTCTTTATTACAACAACAGTTTTGATATATAAACCACGAAAGGTTCCATCGGATATAATGTATACAGCTTTCCGGTAACGAAGCATCTATCGAAAACAGTGCGTAAAGTCAGGGTCAAGGAGAAACTTTTCTCCGTTTTCTCCATTTTTATAAAAGGGTTTAATTTGAGGGTACAATTTATTCCATCAAACAGACTCCCAATGAAGCAGTACGAACTATTCCTAATCACATGTTTCAACAACTAAATGATGAATTTAAAGAAATTGCACGTGCCAAGTCCAATCCCTTTTTGTATAAAATAAATCCCACATTTATCTTCAAAGCCTTATCAGAGATTTCTTTTTGTATTGTATGATGGCCTTCTTGATCTCTTTGCAACAAAAATGAGCGCATTTTTTATCTCTATGTGAAAGCAAATTTATCTTTTTAATTCACGATAATGGTTTTTTTTGTTTTTCCGTACAATCGTCTTTCTCTAAAGCATTCTTTATTTCAGCCAAAGTTTGCAACACTATTTTAACATCACTATGAACAACTCAACAATCTACAATTACACATAACAAATTGGTCTTAATATATCATGGCCGCAGTCTTTTTGTTATTCATATATATTTCTTATAAATAATTCTTTCTTTTTCTTATTTGGACATATAAGCCACAAGTCTTATGGGCTTAGTCCATTTTAACTTCACATTCAGAAAAAAAAAAAAAAAATTTGCAAAATCACAAGTTGTTAATAAAATTAATTTTTGATCTACGATGACCGCCAATACTGAAAAGAAGCCTGTATCATTGCCGCAGAAGCGATACTATCGGCAACGGGCGCACTCCAATCCTATAGCTGATCATTGTTTTAATCAGTGAGTATTAATTATATGTTTAACAAAATCCTGTTTCAAATTTGTGCCCTCTACCTGCAGTCCTGCCCATCCAGATGAAGTGAATTGGGTGGAATATTATCCTGATTATGACGCTTATCCATCATCAAAACGAGTAGAATTTGCTGACGTAGGTTGTGGTTATGGTGGCTTTTTAGTTACGTTAAGTGAAATGTTTCCAGATCGTTTAGCTATTGGCTTGGAGATAAGAGTGAAAGTCTCAGACTATGTAATGGACCGAATTAAAGCATTGAGGTGCCAACATGTCGGACGCTACAGAAATATCGCATGCATTCGCACCAACGCTATGAAATATTTGCCAAACTATTTCGTAAAACACCAATTAGATAAAATGTTCTTTCTTTACCCGGATCCTCATTTTAAAAAAGCTAAACACAAATGGCGCATTATTAATCAGGCTTTATTGTCGGAATATGCCTACGTCTTAAAAAAAGGTGTAAGTGCGCAAAACTAATACACAAAATATGAAAGAAAATCGAAAAGGATAACCATTCTCGACTTTGTAGGCCCTCGTTTACACAATGACCGATGTAGATGATCTCCATAAGTGGATTGTTCAACATATGGCGGAACATCCATTGTTCGTTCGGCTTACTCCTGAGGAAGAGGTAAAAGTATATATAAAAATATTGTAGAAAATTAATAACATTTAATTTGTAGGCTAGTGATCCTATTACTCCTAAATTATATGAAAGTAGTGAAGAAGGTGCTAAGGTAGTAAGGAATAAGGGTTGCCATTTTCTAGCGATCTTTCGTAGAATCTAATGTTAGAGAAACTTGAACGTTGACACAAATATACATAAATATAATTATAAAAGCCTTAAAAACATGTTTCATTGGTTATAATTAAAGTAAATTTATTTAATTAAATTAACGTTTGCGATTTCTAGAGTCGCGTGAGGAATCTCTATGTGATCCTCTATGCGACGTTGTGTAAATACGGTGATGTTTGTTTGACGATGAAGACGATGTCGAATGATGGTGATGATGATGCATAGGAGCTGGCCGTTTTTCACGCTCCTGATATTTGTCACGTCTTTCGTGGTATTTCTCGCTGTTGCGTTCACGAGATGGTTTGCTGCAATATACGAAAAAAATTAGAAACGTCAGCAAAGTATCATACGTTCATCTTGTACCGCTTGCGATGTTTAGTATGTGGTGAACTGGATGGTGAGCGCGAATAATGGCGGGATTTTTTCTTCGGTTTTGGCGGTTGAGGTGAACGAGTTCTCGACCTTTCACGATCACGATTGGGCTTCTTGTAACGAGTAGGTGAGCCTGAACGAGATCTAGATCGCGTATGGGATCGTGAACGAGTATGTGAACGCGACCGCGAATGTGGTGTTCTTCTCGAATCGCGAGTATGTGATCTCGATCGCGACCGAGATCTAGAGTCTTTATCCGAAGATTTTTCGTTAGGCAATGGTAAAGGGATCGTTCGCTGTATGAAGCCTCCCCATGCATTATGAGAACCGTTATTGCGATCTACCGTGGTAACAGCAGGTGGAGTATTTTGTTCCTTAGTTTTAGTACGCGAATCCATATATTGCTTCTTCAATTCTTCTACCGCCGCTTCAAGCTTTTCTACATTCGGTTTACCACGTGTGTACAATTCCGTTACCCGATAGCATATATCAATTATATCATCTTCTGTTACCTGAAATACACCAAACCAAGGGTATGGGTATGATGGCAAAGGGATAGATAACTTGCGAGCACTTAAGTAAATACAGGCACAAGCAATTGTTTCTGGATTATAGCGCATGAACACATCGGTACGCAAAGAATCGTTCATAAAATTCCAGGACATTTGCATTAATTGCTCATGCTTCTCATATTTCAAAACTTGCAGATACATTACTATCAGCTTGTGAGGATGTTTAACGTGCACACAAAATCCCAACTCTTTTAAAACACGACGCTCAGCCTTGATAACTTGAGTTTTTAGATTTGTATAATATTGATCTAAAATCATTGGTGAAATTTCTCTAGAGAAATGAGGTTAATTAAAATACATACAAATATATTAAATTTACTTACTTTTGTCCGCGAACTTGTTTGATGTGATGGAATACATTAATTACATCTCTAATCCTTCGCAAAGCTTCCTCTATCTTCGATGCCAAGCATACACAGCTCATGGCGACCGTTTCATAATTGTGCCGCACAAAACTTTTTGAATAAAAGAATCGCTGAAAGATAACTTGTCCTGTGGCCATAGCAACTTGTGGCAGCTTCAGCAATATACCAGCTGTTTGTATTAGCTCACATCCTAATATACGTAGATCCTTCTCAGTTTCCGCATCTAAGCCATCTATACGTGACGGCGTCTGCTCGAGTTTAGCTTCTGGTATTAAACTGTTTTCCAACGTTAAGACAATTTTGTTGTAAAGGCGAGGAAAGGTTTTTTTGTTGTCTGTGCTCCCTGCATCATTATTGACAGGATTATTAACCATTTCAGCGGATTTTGTTACTTTGAAGAACTACTCTATAGGCACCACGATTTACTATAAAGCGCTGCCAGAATTAAAAATTCTTTGAAGAAATAATTACGACGATTGGATGCAATTCAAAAATATTAACATTTGGCAAATTATATGAAATTGGATCAAATAGTATTTAATGTTGTTTAAAGCGAAAACAGTTAAATTGTAGGCTTACATCAAGAAATTATTAAAGAAATTGCGTGGCCTTATTAACTACGGTTTTTTAATGCAAACAATAAACAATGCAACGATCGCTTATCGACACAATAGAGTTGCCGTACGCCCCAATCAAATTTAGTTGGTTATCGAACTAAATCAACTTCCGTCAACAAACTAACTTTATATACACAATAGGATCACCTTTTGTACCTCCCTTGTTTAGATATTATTTCTACATCTTGTTATAAATAGTAAAATTAGTATAAATGACAATTAAATCACATAGGCTATACACAGATCGTCTGACTTACTGACTTTTTTATAAATGTACGTCAAAGTACAACACAGAATGAATGAACATGAATTTTTAATAAAAAAAGGAATTTGCAGCATGAAACAATTCAGAAAGAGTCAAATATTACAACGAATCGCACACTTTAAAGTAGGTTTTTATACATATAAATTTGCATAATACAGGCACCCGTCTGTTAATATCGTGGTTATTATCTAACATTTATCTTACTTACACATACTAAAATAAAATTTATTGAAATATTACCTCACTGCAAAACAATCCAGTGTTCGAAAAGCATTTGCCTTAGGCTCTGTGCTATTTTTTTTATTTTTCGTATTTCCTTAACTAAAATAAGACAATAAATATTTTATGAATTATTATAGTTTTGTCATCTAAGTAAAAAAAGTGTTCATAAACTTAAGTGTAAGTAAGAAGTCTTATTCATATCTTACATATTCTTTAAACTTTATATAAAGTCTGATTAATTCAAAATCTCCATACCAAAAGTTGTTTCATTCTCTTTCGTTTCATTTATGCGGAAGATTTGTCATTAAAGTTCGTTGTTATTCTATTGGACAACAATTTATATTTATTATTTTAACATAGAATTGTAGTTAAGCATAAATAATAACAAATATAAAAATTTATCAATGCCTCGAGAATTGTGGGGAGAATTTTTAGATGATGAAAACATATCAAATGAAGAGCGTAAAATTATTCCTTTAGGTGCTAAGCGCATAAAACTTACCGAAATTCAAACTCGAAAGCCGCAAGAAGAGCAGAAAAAGTAATAAAATATAAAATTAACCGTTAAAATAATCTAGTGGAATAATATAATTTATTTTAAGTGTTACAGTAAAAATAAAAAATCCGCTAGTCACACAGACTATTGAAGTTATGAAACAAACGGAAATGTTACAATCACTCATTGATACGTATTCCAACAAATCGGTAAATGTAATTTAGGGGACATATACGTAACTCTTGAAATCAAAAATTTAAATTGCAGGGTACATCAAACTATTTACTAAATCCCTGCCAAATGATACCTGAAGTTGATTTTCCTCCGGAGAACGCCGCAGATTTTATCAGTAATGAAAAATTCGCTAAACCCATTTGGTTTATACCACCACAGGATACGAAATTTACCAAAGGAGTACCCCAATTGTATCCACAATTAAATACGGAAATTTGCAAAGCCTCATTGCGTAAAGCTGTTTGTGGCCAACTAAGAGTAGCAGGCTTTACAGATACAGCAGAATCGGCGTTGATACTTTTTGCCGATGCAATTGAGGAATTTATGCGCAATCTTTTACAGCAAGTACGTGAAATCCATGCCAATGATCCGAAACTGGAGACAAAACGCGATATCGAAGTAAAACATTTGGAAAAGGCATACTATTCAATGACAAACACCTCCTTGACGCAAGTACATAACTATTTCAAACATCATTTAATTGCTAGAAATCGTAGTGAGATTGAGGAATTTAATGGCGTCTTACATGAGTATGATAAACTCATGAAAGAAAGTCAAAATATGCAAAAAGATGAATTTCAGGAAACTGATTTTATGAATATATTTGAAATGCCTTCGACTTCAAATGGCGGCGCTAATGCTTCATCAGTACAAGACTTCTCTGGCTCGGTGACAAATTCAGGGAGTACAAGTGCAACAGTTTTGCATCAAAACAATATACTTGGTTTGTTGGATAATCAAACGCATATAACATTGCACTCAGAAGCTCAATCTAATAACGACATCCAAGCATATGCAAATGATATAAATCAACATTTACAAACTCATGAATAAACTTTTTAAAATTCTACTAAGGGTCTCGTTAAGGAATTACTTGCAAACATAACGCTAGTGAGAAATTTCTTGTTTTCGCAGACGTACGTTTGCTTGTGCATTGTTGATTTGAAAAATTAGCCGTCACTAATTAAAAATATTTTGATTTAGATACTTAATTTATAGTTATCGGATGTAGTAATAATTTCCATCTCTAATATTAATATTGCAAACAAACATAATAATCGTATATAGCGTAAGATATTAATTTTAGCAAGAGTATTTTTATTAAATATGTTCGGCGAATCTAGCGATTCGGATGATGATGTTCAAATAAAACAATTTTTGGAGGCAGCTGATTCAACACTATTAAACGATTCTCTCTTTCAAAAAAATCCCGCACCCGCGAGCGGTTTACATATTCCGAGCAAACCAAAGAATAATGAGTTTGAAAGCGATGTGACGGGCACGAATTCCAATGGTAAATTAAAGAACTAAGTTAGTCCCATCACAGTCTGCACTTCAAAAAGAATTTGCGAGATATTCAAAATATAGTAGTGTCCACAAGTTGAATTTCTTCTACATATTTCGAAATCTTCAATTTGCGCTCCTATCTTTTCCATATGTTCATTTTTAGATATACCTAAGTCTCAACGTTATTTGTCGGATGATGAGTTTGGCGAAAATGGAGTGCGACGTGATCTCATTTTCTCAGATGCCGTTCAAAGGCATATAACAAAAAAAATGAAAGCGATTTTAAATAACAAATATGAATTTTTCAATCAAAAGTTTCAAAGCGCTCACAAGGTAGATAAATATAAAAGTCCTGTGAAATTGTTAAGTGATGCTGGCTGTTATGTAAATGCTTACGAGGATTTTCAGTGTGATAATTTAGGACCAAGAAAGAAGCCAACAATCAAAAGAAGATCTATCGATAATGTAGCGGAAAACACCAAAACATCATTTAAAATATTAGCTGTGGATAGTTCATACATTCTTAACGGCTGTGATTTGAAATATTGGGCACCAAGAAAAGAACGTCCGGATAAAGTGTTTCATTACAGAATGGATAATAAAGGAGTTCTATATGCTAAAGAAAATTTAAATGAATTTAGTTTCTTAAGACAACGTAATCAATGGAATGAAAGTAAAATAAAATACCGAAATTGTGGTAAAATGCCTAAGAACACTTAGATAATAATAGACGAGTTTGATGTAATTAGTTAATGAATAAAGAGAATCCTTAATGGATTTTTTTTTTTTTTTTAGTTAGAAACATTTATAGGGTCCGCTATCGATTCTTTTACCATTTCCGACACTAAACAGCTGTTCATAAAATTGTTTATATGTGAAAATCAAAGAAGAAGAAGCGGAGTTTGCAATGCTTAAAAATTTTATATTGGCGCCGAATATCTGCTCTATTAAATTTTCGTGTGTAAGCAATTTTTTTCGGCTCAGTTACAAAATGTCTAATTTTTACGAAGGTAGTCTGGCGGTGAAAGATAATGAATTGAATTTGGATTTAACACTTTTAGGCGGACAAAGTTTTCGGTGAGAAGCAAAAATAAATTCTAATATATTCTTAATGTATCTTCTTTTAAGCTGGCTGAAATCTCTTAATTGCAAAGGCGAAGCCGAATGGCACGGTGTCGCCTTTAATGCCTTTTGGATGCTTCGTCAGAATCAAGAGCGTTTGTTCTATAAAGTTTATCCTAATCCGTTAGATTCTGGAATACGCGACAAGAAATATTACGAACAGCTCTTAAAGCGTTACTTACGTTTAGACTTTGATTTATTAAAATATGTGAATCAATGGCGTAAAGCGCATCAGCATTTCGACAAAATAGCAATACATTTAAAAGCCGTACGTGTTTTAAATCAGGATCCATTGGAAAATATTATCTCTTTTATATGTAGTCAAAATAATAATATTAAAAGGTTTGTATGGATCTATGAAAATTCGTTGACTTTTGTTTTTAACTTTTCACTAACCTAACAGGATATCAACTATGGTTCAGTGGTTATGCAATAAATACGGAGAGAAAATTGGACATTTTCAAGGCAGAGATGAATTCAGTTTTCCTACAATAACTTCCTTACTAGAATCCGAGAACCAAGTAAGCGGATATTTATTCTTTGATAAAAGAAGCTTTTACCTATTATTTAAAACGTTTTCAGTTGGAGTCATCATTACGCACTGCTAAATTTGGTTATCGCGCAAAATTTATTGCTCAATCTGTTCAAAAAATAAACGAATATGGAGGCTTAGAATGGTTCGAAAAACTACGTACTTTACCTTACAGTGAGGCTCGACAAGAGCTAGTACAATTGCCAGGTATTGGCTACAAAGTAGCAGATTGTATATGTCTAATGTCTTTAAATCATATGGATTCGGTGCCTGTTGATACACACATTTTTAAAATTGCCCAGCGCATTTATCTACCAGCCTTAGTAAATGTTAAAAGTGTTACTCCAAAAATCTACGACCAAATAGCAGAACATTTTCGTAAAGTCTATGGCGAATACGCTGGATGGGCACAAGCTGTAAGTCGCTTTATTTATGTTTAAAAGTTTTAAAGTTATAATGTTTAAGCTGGAAATCAATTCGTGTTTGACGTCATACATCATCGATGCATAAGTGTGGTCTTGAAACATCCCTCCTCTTGTAAGAATTTTTTTGTAAATCAATCATAAAACTCTTTCAATAATTACTTATTGCATTTGCGCTTAACTTTATAGCGAACATCGACAACTTTCAATAAAAACCAAACATAAATTTTCGATGGTTGTAAAGAAGTTTCTATACATCCTTCCTAAGATTGAAACGAGTATATTTAATTCTACTATTGATTCTTCTTTTTATCCTGGTCCCCAACATGATAACGTCAAAATCGAGTGTTGTATTTGGGTATCATAATCGATAAGGAACTCCCGTTTGCGAAGCATATTGCCCTAATGTGTAGTAAAGTCCAAGGTATGCTGAGAATGACTTATGCTATCAGAATGCATTTACTTCTTCATATCAGACAGAAATTGGCTCATGTTATTTCTATGCCACATATTCTGTATTGCTTCTCCTAAAACCATTGTAAATGGATTGCGAAGAATAGGTGTAGGGATCATATCTTCAGAGCCTTCTTAGGTTCACCTTTAGGGACTACATAAACGAAGGCATTTCAACTATCTATCGTATTAGAGTTTAATACATTAAAGCCAAATGTGCAATTTTCACATTGGTGAGAAATTTTCAGTGAATCTTACTTTTTTGAGTTAATTCTCGTATTTCGAGAATGAAAATCGTATCCAAGATGAAGTCGCAAAATAGAAGAGAAATATTTCGATATTTGCTTTTGCTTTATTTAATTTTTCAGTTTCAACGTGTAATTGTCTCATTTCAATTAGTCTGCTGGCAGACCAGTTATGAATAGAAGACTTTGTAATTGTTATATATGTGTATTTAAAATAGATGATGAGTACCTAGAAAGTGCTCCAAGCCGGATAAAACTTTCTAATTCATTCATGTCATGTAATTTTTCTTTTTTCAGATTGTTTTCTGTTCAGAACTGCAACAATTTCAATTGAAACATAACTTAGACGATTCCAATGTAGTCTCGCAAAAGAAATCCAGAGAGAGATGCCACGCACCTTGAACACGTGATACATGACATTATGTATTATATTATAGTTAGGAGCTTTTTTTAAACAATTTCTTTTTCTTCATTATTATAATAAATTAAAAACAGTTTGTTGCTTAATATTTTAGCACATTCACATTTAACAGTTTTAAATTTTCAATTTTTATTTCTTAATCAATAGCATAAATAAATATTTATTATTATTATTACTATTACCTCCCGTATAAATGCCATAAAATTTAGTATAAAAACAAAAATCATATTAAAAAAGTCATATTTTTACATATTCAAGCTCAGAAATGCATATTGAAACTGTTTTTAAAAATTTTATATATATAAACATGTATATATATAAACATTGATCTTTTAACCATCTCCGTGCTGTGTTTGATCTTCTTCGGCATTTTGCATGTGCTTTTGTTTGCTTTGTACCTTGAGAAAATGTAAAAACAATAATTAGTTAAATAAATATGAAATATCATAGTAAACATAGTATTATTTATTTATTTTTTTTCTTTAATTACTTGATTCGAGTCCTTATTGTCATTTTCTTGGGGGCTATCTGAACTGTCGGTAGTCTTAATAAATGACGAATAAAACGATGAGAAACTAGATCCGTCCATGTCATCGCTATTACCGTTACTGTCACTTTTTGGCTATTAATGAATGATTTCGAAAAGAAAAAAAGAAAAAAGTTAACTTCGCTTTGAAAGACATTATTATAGAAATAGTTTACTTTTAAACTATTTGAGTTGTGTTGCTCTGACACATAGTCACCCATGACAGAAGCTATGGGCGAGTCAGCAATACCTTTTTTGGATGAATCAGATGGCGCCTAAGTATAAAATTGAATATAAAAACATATTACGATAGCATAGAAGCCATGACAATTGCAACGTTTTCCTGCAACTTACCATATTTGAGCCAGGCTCTGCTTTTACTGATGTGGCTTGTGACGAGGGACGCTGCAAATGGGACGGCGTTATCGAATGGAAAGCTCCTTGCTGATTTTTCGTTGTAGATGGCGCGACCATCATAGTTTGTGACTGTTCATAAAAAAAAAAAAAAAAAAAAAAAAAAAAAATGAACTCGTTATTATATAATTTTAACCTTGAATTTTCCGATTTACATACCCTTTTATAATCAGTTTGTTGCGGAGGTAAATTTATTGTGTTTGCCACATTTGAAAAGGTAAGAGGCTGATACATCATAGCAGTCGCTGCGGGATGCGTATAAAAGAATGATGGATGAGGATAAACAACGCTTGCCATGTACTGGAGGGGTAATGTTTGAGTAGAGGTACTGGGCAATTCAGTGGGAATTCGTTTCGCGGTAACAGGACCAGCTCCCGTAGCGGGAATGTAATAGATGGTAGGAAAGATGCTATGCTGCGGCGTAAAACCACTTTGGGACACTATTTGCGGAGTGGGTGTAGCGGGTGTCGTTAAGCCCAAAGAAAATGGTGGCCATAGATTAATATTACGAGCACGGGATAAGCCACTATTATATGGGCTAGGTAAAGTTGTGCCCCAAGTTGTTTGTAGATTACCAAACATTTTAGGCGAATTGTTATGATCAACGAAATCTCTTTGCATTTCCATATGATTAGTGTGCTGCTGTTTGGGTTTGTTCGCGTCGCCTTCCCAAGAATGCGAACCTCCCCTTTTGATCCCATGCCCCGGTCCGCTATACTCTAATAATTTCTCATTGGTCTTTTTATTTTTTTCTCCATTACGTCCACGCGCTTCTCTATGCTTTTTCAGCATAAATTTCTCCATTTCATCATTATGTTTATTTAATAATGATTCTGTCAGTGTAACTAATGGTACACTTCCAGAGGACGTGCCTGTTCCTGTATTGCTGGTGTTAGTAACGCTGCCCATATGCAAATTACTTCCCGAAGTAAAATTTCCTGAAGAACCGCTGCCACCGCTGCCTTCAAAGCATTGCACCGGACTTAAAGTACTTCTGCCCTCAGCTGGTGCACTATAAGATGGTTCATTTTTTAGTGGATCATACTCTATCGGTGCCATCATATGTTTGCTACTAAAAAAACGCTGCAAATTTTCATTGTAATTAAGCTGATTATAACTTGGCGGAGTTTCCGAAGAACTTTTGCTATCATAATACTCGTGATGTGGTGAAATCTCACCTAACATCACTGAGTCCCTTTCAGAAACGGTTAATTCATTTTCATTAGGTAAATCTAGTTTTAGATCAGTACGTGATACTTCATCCATTAAAGTTTCCATATAGGAGGCTAAAGCCTGGCAACGTCTTGAAACTTCTTGTTTTACCGTCTCTAGGGGTCGTGACACGGTTTCCGATAGCAATTTCAGAATATCTTCCTTAATTCGTGCGACACGACTCTGCGCTTCTTCTGAAAGTTTGAGTTTATTAGCTACCGGAGATTCAAACACGTTACAAAGTTTGGGACCTAAAAAGAAAATTTCTTTATTGTTCAATTTTGTAAATGTGATTGGTTTTTGTCACCTTGAAAGACACGATGATGTCCGACAACAAATTCCAATTTTCTGGACCATGGATTAACAAAACTTGTCCATTCTGTATCCAATAAAACGTAACAACCGTTCTGAATAAGGTAACGATAGGGTTTGCTGCAGAACGAAGTTCCTGCCCTTTGTCCTTTCTTCATGACAGTCTCGTAGATTTGTTTCAAAACGATGAGATCTTCATGATGATAAAAATCTAAAATAGAACGTCCTATAAGATCTTGCGGTAGATAGCCCAAGGCTGATACTGCAGCACTATCCACATGCGATATAATACCAGTAGCTGTATGACGTATGGAAAATTTTGGATGCTTGTGCGAGAGTACTTCATCGGCGACTGGAAGAGAAAATCGTGAATCGCAAAGCCATACTAAAGTTGAAATTATGTTAAAAAAATTACCTTTATACGAAGTTTTTATGGGCGTAGCGCATATAACGAGTAACATATTTGCGCCACCTGGTAAATAGCTATCAGGTCTTGCTTCTTCGGGCGCTTCACGAAATGTTAATGCCAAACGAAAGGGTTCGTATCTAATCGGTCGACCAGGAACACCGTAACCATTTGATTTGAGGCCACGATATCTACGAAGCATAACACAGAACGAACTGCGAGCATCACGTGGTATACTACTGCGCGACTCGGCTATCGGTATACCCGTAGTTATTTGACTGGCAAAGGTCGCTCGATCCTTGGAATGAACGAAATCAATAAATGACCTACCCAACCACATGTCGCGTGGAAAGCCAAGTACATCGGTAATACTGGGCGTTGTGTAAAGTACGATACCATCATGCATCGATATAACGCAACAAAAACTTTCCTAATCACGGAAGAAAAAAAAAAACTTGACTTGAAAAAGTTATTCCATAAAGGCAACTAGGAAAGAAATGAAAGAGGAGAGAAGGACATAAGAACGATTGAACAGAAAAATAAATTAAATAATAGACTCGACGCTAAAAGCAGCGAGTATTTGCCCGGCCCATAGCCTTTGGCTGCATGAATTTGATAAAGACGCTTTCAATTTTGAAATTTGGGCCCTAACCCTTCAGTATACGTCTTTTAAGTATATTTATATATATATATATATATATATATATATACCCGTCTTGCCAAATAAGATATGACGGCAGTTTTGCGAACGTTAAGCTAAGAGTTAACATAAGACCATAGATAAGCAGTCGAAACGCGTTGTCGAAAAGATTTGAAATTATTCGCTGGCTACAATGTCATCTTAAAAAAAAAAAAAAAAAATTTTTTTTGAAAAAAAAACAAAAAATTGAAAAACATACAAGAACGACATTATATTCGGCTTAACACGAAGCTTTGCATATCCACCCACTACACTTGACTTACTCATATAAAAACAAAGTCGTGCACTTGGACTGCAACCGTTTTATTTACAAAAACGGAATCTAAGTAGTTAAGAAAATATGACTGGTTCTTCAAGATGTATTAAATATTAGCACAATGTAGACCATGCAGACTATGACGCATGGTTTCGTCATCTTCGCTTCAAGTCAAGTTCGCCTACAAATTGTTTTCGCTGCAATTTAACAAATTTGTAGAGTTTCTCCTGGCGCCCTATTGTAGGTGGCCTTCATCGAATGCTTCGTAATCTTTCAGGTTGGATACGAGGGCACTTGGACTGCAGCGTCATAATATGTTGTAGTTCGATATTTACCAAAATATCATCCACTTTATCTTTACTGGGTTATATCGAATGGCTGAGCCTAAGAACTGCAGCATTTATCGTAAATTTAATTACTTGAACGCACACTGTCACATGATCTTCAACTTGATCCGTAGCGATTTGTATACTTTCCGATTTAGAAGATTTACACTTCTTCGTATGCGAAAATTTCAATATTTTTTAGATCTCTTTGGAGTTTTACACGATTTTCATGACTAGAATTCTTGCCAATTTCTCATCTCTCTCAAGCCGCATAGCAAAAAAAAGGGATCATGAACTGCTTCGAAGCAGCATAACCAGATAATCCATTCCTACTAAACGATCGATCATCAATGAAAAACGCTTATTATTGGAAAGTAATGAATGAATATATTGGACATAAGAGTGATTATGCAAGATCATATGGCGTTTGATTGCGAAACGAGCGCAATGTCCATGCAGCCTTGACTTGAAGTCATCTGGTTACGTTTCACTTCAAAGTTTGCGAAATGCATTGAATCGTAAGATTAAACGCTATTGAATATAATTTGATGAAATCCATGCATTAACCGAAATTACTTTCATTTGTTATAATATGTAGTCTAATGTCTATTATACCTTACAGATTCTAAGCAGTTTAGATATTACAAAGGGAATAACGAAATGAATAACCTGCATAAGTCTTTGATGGATATGCAATAAAAATTGTTTTAATGTAAAGTTTAGCGGGATTTTGGATAAGAGATTATATGAATTTTATATATTTACTGCTTGCACTTTTACTCTGAGCTCACCTCCTTAATTTTTTCTGGTTTAGTAGAGGTTTCCAATTTGGCAGGAGCTGATTCACAAGTCTTCTCAGATTTTGTACCTTGTTGTATAGCTACTGAATACATTAACGTATATATATATATATAGAAATAATTACATTTAGAAGTACAAAAAACATATGTACATATACGCATATATTTTAATAGGTTGGCAAGAAAGAAATTTCGAGAAAATTTAAATATTCTTGTATTCATTCATATATTTATTACATATGAACAGTTTAGGTTGAAAGTGGGCTAAGTCATTTTTTTAAGCAAAATTTTTTTTTTGTTTCTACCGGTTATTGAGATTTAATAATCGCTTGTAATGTTGTTGTTGTTAGGATTAACTGTATTTTTTGGTACACCATTTATGATACAGGATATAGTGCGGATGCAAGTAACACTTAGATGGACTTAAGGTAGACCCAACTTTTGTTAAAACGATCTAAGCTTGTCGGTGCGTTCGTTCGACGTTTGACATAAACATGAAGTGGACGAAGTTTGAACCAAATGTGTCTGTTTCTTGGACCTCACTCTATATAAGATTTCCTATGAGAAAATTTTCACTTTTTAATATTATATGACGAAAATTACTCAATGCTAGCAATTTAGCAGAAAAATTACCGGGTAAAAAATTTGCATCACATAGCCCTATTTTTTAGAACTTAGCGTGTGTAGGGGTTATCGCGCCCCTATATATGGGGAGAAAGTTTCATTTCATGTTTTACATGACGGCAACTGAAAACTAATAAAATTTTTAGTAAGTAAATTAAGTTTGCTATTAAGTTTTGATCACGTTATGTGATGTGATGTTCGGGGCATACTCCGATATGTGGGCTTTGTGTAACTTTTATTGTACTATTACCAAAACTAGCGAATAACTGTATTAGGCGAAGTGGTGTAGGGTATCTAATCGTCGTCTTTGCCCGACTATAATATTCTTACCTGCATTTTTTTTTGGGAAAACATGACTTATCCCAATTTCCAAAATAAATAATAGAGAGAGGCAGATAGATAGCTTTAAAATATTTCTTTCTCACTTATTGAATAAATGTTTTCTTCTCCTTTTCCCTCCTCCAACTGTTACATATATCCTTATAGACATATATACTTATACATATATATATATATATATATATCATATCGTCTATCATATATGATATAGATAAACGTGGAAAAGTAACTGAGAGAATGATAGACGAAAACGTAATTTTCTTCTGCCAAACCAAATGCAGATAATATTTAATTACTAACCTAATTGTGGTGATGGTGTTGGGCATGGTAAGGGCTTTTCAGATATTTTATCGTTTGTATCTTTCTCTAAATTCTCTTTTATATCCAGACGAGAGGTTTGTGCTGAAAATAATCAAATAAAATCAAAATAACTGTCGATTTCGAAAAGCTTTCGCCGTTTGCCTCCATTTATGCATCCAACGTACCAATGGAAATATCTTTGTGTGATAATTGTTCATCATTATCATGTTGACATGATTCTGGTACTTGTGGACCATCTTCGGGTGCGCTTTCGAGTACATTTCCGACCGTCGAAGATGAACATTTTAGCTTCTTCTTCTTGCGTGCCTTATCTTTGCCACGTTTTGGGATATGTATCTCACTGTATGAAATGCAAATGAAAATGGAATTAAATCGTGAACTTCCCAAAAAATTTTTATATCGTTCAACCTGCTAGTTTGAGTTGAAGGTTTACCACCATAACCACTACTGCCGGAAGAGTGACTGCCACTAAGACGTGATTTTGAGCTGCCACTGAAAATATATATGTAAATAAAAAATGATTTATTCATTTTACCTTTATTCCTTTTTTTGTTGTTATTTATGATAAACTATTAAAATTTTTATAGAGAAAAATTTTCTTACAATTTCATGTATTTATTCACGAGAAGTGAAACACATTTCCCTTACCCTATGAATACATGATACGAAATCAAATATGGTTTCTCATAAGACCATAGTCTCACCATTATTTTTGTACAGATTATTAAAGATGTATGTAATACGTGACATAATTGCGATGATGGACGATGTCTTCCCTGTTAATCATTTCTGGACTCTTTTCTTCTATTAAGCGATTTAATAATATTAGCTGTTAGCAGGAGGGAATGAAATCAATCGCTAGGTCACAATGTTCCAATTATACCGAAGATGAAGGTTGAACCTATTTTTGCACCTAGCTTTACGCAAATGTTCTAAAACTGTTACGTGATCAACGGTTGGTCTACCGGCGATTTTACAAACAAAATGAAATGTGGTAGCGATTGATCAACAACGATTAATCGAGTAGAACGCCGAGCGCAGAGAGAGACTTTGATTCCGTATTCTCATCATAGACGCTGTAATTTTAGTGCTTCATCTCAATACTTGAAACTTAACGAAGTTATCAGTCACTTGGGTCAGAAACTCACGTCAATAAAGAGTAGGTGTACTTAAGTCTTGGACGTGTAACTCTGCCTTATGCAAATAGAGCGGATTGTTATAAATATATGTTATATATATATATTTATATATTTATATTAATAATATAGTGTAAGAATATAAATGGATTTAAATAGTGGCGGACTACATATGTATGCTTCTTCATCCATCTATTGATAAGATAGGATTAGGAAATTTGAACTAAAGCAATAAAAGTAGTTTTTTTTACCGATCAAAGGATTCTTTTGGAGTTTTATTTTTCTACTCGTAAAAACCAGATAGCGTCCGTTAGACCAAACTGAAATAAGACCTAAGAAGGAAAGAAGACCCATGACTCATATGCCGCTATAACGGAATATATTTGTACTATATCTTAATCGTCTTAATCGTTTAATTAAAAAAATACTGCAATCGACTTTAGCTACACTTCTTACGTTAAATCAATAGTTTATTCCAAATTAGTTAAAGTAAAAAAAAAGTTAAATTATTATACGTTAAACCAGTTGCGGTACAGTGTATGTTAAGTTTGTGCAGATGTGCATAGCCATAAAAAAAACGTTGTAACCGATCTTTTTTGCATTATATCGATCAATTGAGCAACAAATTAAGTTTAGCTGTCCGTCTGTCCATATGATATCTGCCCATTTTTCAAATATTTTCATGAAGATGAAAGCAATTGGGACGAGACCACTTTTCCGATTACTTTCCATATAAGTGTAGGGTAAACCGAGGCCGACTATGGTGTATTTCTTCACTTTTTCGCTTTTTTCTAAAATTTCTACTAACAGATACATAACAAAATAGATAAACTATTTGGAGAAGTGATACTCTTTCTACATCTGGATCTGGGTTTATCGTAAAATATTTACGTTTGTCTGTTTCCTTTGAGGTTACGTAAAATCGCTTTTTGTCAGTTCAACTCGCAACCTGTATTAAGGCGTTGCTCAAGCTTCAGGGCTATTTTTTTTTTTTTTTTTTTTTTTTTTTTTTTTTTTTTGAATAAAAATTAACTTTCATGGGCAGATGAAAAAGGAGCTGAGAGCGTTAATTCTGTTTCGAATTTATCGATTAAACTACTGGTTTGTGAAGCTTTTTAAACGAAGATGGACCAATGCAGATGCCATCTGACTGCGGAGATGGGTGGCTGCATATAGATATGCTACACATTTGGGACCAGAACGTAGTTATTGAAAAATTTTCTAAATATAAAGCTTTATGCAAAACAGATCCTTCTTACTAGAGGCAAATATAATTTTCTCGTTCTCCTTAATAATAATAATAATAATAATAATATCAAATAGTTTGATATAAGGTATCCATAGGATGTTTTGAGTTATTACTTACCTTCTTTGCGATTGACTGTTACTGCAGCTGTTCGAATAGGCTGAATCCGAGACCTTAGTATTATGTGTTGATTCCGTAGATTCGCCTTCCATTTTTACTTTATTTTAATTTTTATTTTTATGATACGTATCCGAAATGATTCTCTTTTATGAAAATTAACGTTAATGCTTCAATAATACTAAGCAATATGCAAATGTTTTTTTTTTTTTTGTTAAATATTCTTAAGGATTCCTGGTTGAATAATTTTCGATCTTACTTTCATTCTATATAGAAAAAATTAAAAAAAAAGAATTTTATAATAAAACACAACGACGAACCTTGAATTACGCAACAATTTATTTTTTATTTATTCAAAATGCGTTGTTTTGTATGCAAAAGTAAAACAAAACAAAAAGGAACACTTTTAAGTAAGCCATCCAGACGGTATTCACGCTTTTCAAACATTTTTTAAAAGTTTAGAAGAAATTTTCAAATTTTGTTTGTTACAAAAAAAAAAAAAAAAAAAAAAAATCAATTTGAAATACATATATGCAGAGGGGATTCAAACATTAGTATACTTTGCAGTTCTTTCGCTAAAAATTATTTACGTAAATAGAAAATATTAAGTAGCTTGCATAGTGAACAAGAAATATTTCACTTGTTAGACCGAAATGCAAATTTTAATTGAAAAGCCAGTAAAAAAACTATAGTTAGCCACGACTCACTATGAATAAATCTATACCATCCTGCAGTTATTCAGGTAGCGATAATGTGTTTTAGGTATGGTCCGATCCGAATCATTTTTAATAGCGTCCGTCCTTGGGACAGAATATCATGGAGTACGGGCCGACAGACGGACGGACAGACATGCAAAAAGTGATTCTGATTTGTTTGGTACAACAAAAAGTGAATCTGTCTTAAGTTCTTCTGCTGGTTGCATATATCCGCAGAAACTAAAATATACTCTTTTATCACAAGGTGGTGCCCTGTAACTAGAAGTTGAAGAATTTTTGCCATCTTTCTTAACCTTACATAACTTATTATAAACTTTGCATGTTTTATTTTGTCATCAGTGTTCGCGAGTTCAAAACTCAGTGCATTAGAGGTAGAGGATACTCGGTCGTAGCTATCGGGAATGCTCAATCAGTGAATCGATTGTAAACGCATTCACTGGACAATTGCTATCTCTCTTTCTCTCTCTTCCCTCACTTGTTGCTCACCGGCAGATATATGCCTCTTTGGGGATATAATGATACGGGAAAAGTTCTCCGTTTGCTTTCTGGGGTAGGCGGTTAGCTTTTTCGTAGAGTGAAAGGCCGTAATGTTTTGACATACAAACAAGATGTAGTTCCACTACTGAGAAAAATCGATCTAGTCTCACAAGCATTCCTTGTTCGCTTGTGAATGTGCCTAAAAGCGAGGCCGGATTAATGAAAGTGAAAATTGAGACTTACTGAAGAGGGCCGAGTAGGCAAGGAATCTCAGTTAATAAGTGAATGGCCGTTAATTCAAATCTCAAGTGCAGTAGAGTTTTTAATAAGATGCTAGCGCTTGAAGACTTTGCTTAGAGAATAATTTCTGCAATTATATGGCCATGGGTGTCCCTAAAGGTAGCAAAGTTTTTATTAAATCTTTAGATCGATATGTGTTCTATATATGTCCGTGCGTAGCGTCATCCCTGGTTCTGAAAGTAGACGTATATAAAACACATTTCTGACCCAGATGTGGATCAAGCTCCTATTAGTTAAATGATTTTACAATTAAGGATTATTATCCCTTTGGTGTACAAAAATAATTAGTAGGCGTGGTTTGTAGGTTAAAAAATGCCATTTTTAACTATGAAAATCGTGAACGCTAGAGAAAAGTGATAATCGATTTGCTGTACCATAAAGTAGATGATTTCGACTTGGATGATATGTGTATTCGTAGGAGAACATTGCAGTACGCCATACATTGTGTGAGCAAATCAATTTATTAAGTGAATGGTGCAATGATCGTTTAACCTTCAAAAATGGTCATACAATTTTATGGAACTTTTTGCTTTGACATTTTATTCCAACATCGGCTTAATCCAATAAATACCACAATCTCTCAATGACCTTACTCGCCACGATTATACATGTTGTTGGTGATATAAGAACAGTTTTATGTGGAAAATTGTGCAAAAAGTTGATTGGTTCCAGTATTGAGTTTTAACAGTCATTCAGAGAGGAGGACATTTATGTATGCCATGAAAAAAATTCATGTTGATGTTTTTTGCGGTTTAGTTGTTAGTAAAAATTAGAAAAAATAAAAAAACATTTATTTATATAGTGTGAAGAATTTCCTACGATGTTTCACCAAGTCATAGAGTGAATTACACAAAATATATTTTTTGAGTGTAATAGAAAGGGAAAAGAAAACAAAAGTAAAAGAAAAACAAAAACAAAAAAAAAAAAAACATTTCAAGCAAAAAAGCTTTTATAACAAATACTGAAATTCTTATTCTGCATGTGTCACTTTCACGTGCGCAAACACACACACACACGCACAATACAGCTCTGGAAATAAATAAAAACGTTGTGTAACAGAGCTAGTGTTGCGATAACGCGCACGTTTGCTGTTGACTTTAAAATAAACGTTAACGTGTGTGTTAAGTAAGTAAGCAAATCTAAATTTTATATATCCAAATATAAATGCATTCAATATATTTTACTTATTAAATTAAACTTACTGCATGACTTCTAAATAAATCAGGACTTAACGGCAAGTCATAGAAAAAGAAAAAAATCTTTATTTTCTAAGTAAAGTAAGGTTTTTTTTTTCTTTTTTTCTCATTTTACTGCAGCGTATGCTTTGGGGAAACCTTTTCATATAGTGGCAGAGCGAAAAATATTAGTTAAGGAATCGAAATTTCAAATGTGCTTTTTAATGGGCGTGCCAGGCGTCCAACTTTTTAAAGCATAGTACGTTTTTTTTACACCACGAAATGCTACTGTAACGAAAAACGCAACGCATAGCCTATAAAATTTGTAGAGAATGCCTTAAAAAGTCTGAAAAGTTAGGGCAGAAAATAATATCTATTAAGAAAATATTGTGAAAGGAATCGAAATTTGAAAATTCAACTTTAATGCACTTACTATATATATATATATATATATATATATATGTAAATTGTGATAGTAAGTAAAGTAATGAAATTTAAGGCATTTAACGAAAAATGCAACGAACGTTTTATGAAATTTACGCTTGACCCGTTAACTAAGTACTTGAGGGACTACATTAAGGTCTAACGTGTTGGTATGCAAATGTTGAGAAAGCATCGGCCCAACTTATGTTTAATGTATAAGTAGTCGCATCACTGCTGCTCATTTCTGTCAGGTATGTTCAGATTTTGTTTTGCTTTTGTTGAATGTTTTTAGAAAAATTCTGATTTTTGTTTTTTTTTTTTTTTAGTCAATTTTTTAATTTTTTAATTTTATCATCACATAGATAAATATGTGTCTTATTATATTTGGTTAACTTTGTTAATACATTAACTTTACGGATTAATCGATGCTAATTTAACTTTCCCCCCTCCCGCACATGCCCCAACCCTCCTAAACGTTACATGAAGAACGTTAAATCTAGCACATTAAACGTTGAAGCTTACATTTGATCAATCATTGAAATCATTTAGCTTTTGAATGTGCAAAGTAAAATAAATTGCTTAGGATGTTATATATCGCACTGGCATAGCATGGCATTTAATTGGAAAGAAAGGCATAATAATGCATAATGCAAAGTTAATATTAAAACCAAAAAAAAAATAGTCTATAAATAATTATAATTTTTCCGATTAAAAGAGTTAAAAATAAAATATTTTTGTTATTTATATTGAAATAAATTTCTTCATCACACTTTTGCTTTTTACTACAAAACAACGTTTCATAAATAAATAAAAAAAAAACACAAGAAATTACAATTATATTTTTTCTTACATTCTTTTAAATGTTTTTCCATTGCCGTCATGGAATAATTAAGTAAATAATTTATTTATTATATAATTCTTTTTAACTAGTTTAACAACTTTTTTTTTTATCCTTTTTCGCTTTTCACTTTTTGTTTTGGATTTTAATTCATTGTTTTTTTTTTGTTTTTTTTTTTTTTTTTTTTTTGTTTATTATATTATGAATGACTTTTAATTAGTTAAAGTACTTTCGATAGATATTTTACTCAAATTATTTAAGAAATATTTCTCTTATTTCTTTTTGATTTTTTTTGTTTTTATTCAAAATTTATTTCACTTTATTTCTTACTCTTATCATACAATATCGAGAACGAATTGCGACTTGACTATAAGAACTTCATATGTCTACTGACAGTTAAACAATTTTCCTAGCGTATATGGTCTGCTCAGCGCTTAAGTACAAAAACAAACAAAAACGTTTTTATTGCGATTCAAATTGGTCACGTACTTGTGCACACATGCTTCGTCGGTACTGCATTTACGGTCGCTGTACTAAATAAAAAAAAAAAAAAAAAAAAAAAAAAAAAAACAGCAGAAAAAAGTAAATTCAGGGCTTCATCGTTCCTCTATAGCTAACCTGCTTGTCTCTTAATCTTGTTCACCTTCCATAGCCATAGTTCACTTCGCTGCGACGTTCAGTTGCTGCGTTTTTATTAACATGTATTTGTAATATTTTTATTTATTTTTATTTATTTAGTTATATATATATATATATATATATATATATATATATATATATACATGGCTGTTGTTGTTTACATATTCTATACAATTTTGAAAGCATTAAAGAATGTGGTCAGACTTTACGTTTGGCTTTGCTCTCAATCATCAATTCATTCATCGTATAATAGAGAAAAACGCGATTCGTACACATTGACATGTGTATTTGAATCACCGTGCGGCAGTCGTTTCGTTTGTAATCACGCATCTATAACACGTGAGTTTGTTACGTTACCTTTACAATTGTATTCTATAAAGTGGGTTTTTAATTTTCTTTTCTCACATTCACATTCTCTCTCCCCTAAATAAATATTCCGTTACTATTGCCATTCGGTTAATGCTTACATGCTTATATATTACTTAGGTTTATCGACAATGAATAATACATTTAAATAGCAAATCAAACTATTTCATATTATGAAGGAAGTATTTCATATATACATATTCGTAGCATAACATGGAGATGAAATGGTTTATCACCTTTCAATCAGATCTATGTCTAAATTAAATGCTACCAACTGTTTCCAACTATGGTTAAGATTTTGCCAATTTTTATATAAGACATAAGACATTTTTATATAAGACATTTTTTCTTCTTCAAATCTATTCCGGCATCGTTCACATATATGCACATGTTGTACATATACACATCGAGCGATAAGTCCGTAGCATTATATATAGACGCTGCCACTATTGACGAATTCATACGATTTTTAGATAATACGAACCTTGCAATTAATGACGGATTTAAGTGACGTTGTTAGTTTGAATTCTTTGCAAGGCATTTAGCGGTCTACTGTCCGCTCGACTGACTAGCAATGTGACTCTGGCGTGTAATAATGAATCTATGTTTCATCTATTCTCACATAACGCTTAAAAAATCTTTTTATTATTTCACTTAAGCAGCATTAAACAACGCTCTGAGTCATCAATGCGCCGTTGTCAAAAGTGGTCCCCATTGCGAATAGATTTTTCCCATGCAAAACAGTAAATAAATTGTCTTCGGATATCATTAAGGTGTCAGTTATCTCAGGCAACTACGTTTTTCGGTTATCGAAAATGGCAAAATCGGCTCTTGCCAAACACCAGAACAACGAACAGGAACGGTCCCGCTTTAACACACTGATAATGATTTTTTTAAGTAAGAATTGAACCGAAATTTAACTTGAAATCAAAATTGAGTTTAACTTTTCCATTAATAAACTATGACTATACAGTATCGAAGGGCTTGGCGAAACTGTCATAGTCAAGACGGAAGTTCTCAAGGACTTCCAGGCTCATCACATTCGTCGGACACATTGCAGACAGTTACTAAAAATCATACACTTGTCTTTAATACCCTAACGAAGATGGATAGGCGCAGTTTATTTAACTAATCAGGTGAGTGTAACGTTGTGCCCAAGATCTGTCTATCAGAAGTTTTCTCGGATATGTAATTTCACGTTTTGCTGATATGAATCGACTATCAAGATCGTACGATTCCTTATCACTGGACTTTGCTCTGTCAGATTGCGCGAGGGAATGAGTTAGTACGAACAATCCTCAAATCTTTGACGTTCTGAAAATGAAAATCCGTCACGTTATGACCGGACTATTGCCCGAATTAGTGTGTGGAGACAATTCATGGAAAATCATCTCAAAAAATCCCGGCTGTATTCCACAAAAAATTGAAAAAAATAAAATTTCATCCAAATCTCAGTCAGAAGCATGCTCCATTCACATTTATTTTCGGAACCACAAAATGGATAAGCCTATAGTATCGATTACATGAAGAACGACCCGTATGTAACAAAACGATTATAGATGACCTTGATGAGACCAATACTTGTATATGCCGTGATCGTGTTGTCTCATTACTATAGATGTTACTTTGATTTAATAAAATCAGTTCAAAAGTTACTATTCTTTACGCTCTTAGATATTAGCAATGGGATTCGCTAGTCTTCTTCCCTTTCTGTGAAAGCTGATTGGTTCTTTTAGTCTTACCTTCACTGGAGAAATGTATGGGTTTGATTCTTTAAATTAAGTTAATAAATGGTGCTATGGACTTCTCTATCTTATCAGGGGAGATTAACTTGTGTGTGTAAATGATCCTAAGCGTTCTTCTTGAAATTTGACTTTTGACTAAAGCTTAGTTAATGTAGCTACAATCATGAGCTTTTCGTTTCGTTCACGTTGCTCTCAAAAAGTTAAAACGATGTCACAACAACAGTAAGTCGTCAGTCAGTTCTTTAAATACAATCAAAAAAATTAACTCTTCTTAGCCAGTTGCCAAATTCCAAATGATGAATATATGCGTCATGATCCGTCGATCTGTCCCTTTTTTTCTTTCTCTCTCTCTCAAGTTGTATAGGAATACATGGCTTAAAGAGTTCGATGTGAGTTAAGTGTGTCTTGTCTTGCGACGAAGCTAAATTCACTTCTAGTCTTCAAAGCTTCGTATCATTCGTAATTAAAGTAATTATGTTCATTAATTTCGGTTGGCAATCTTTAGTATGCTTGCATCGATTTAGTGGTTCGTTCATTTCTAGTTTGAATCTACATTGGCTGCAAGTATCTCGCTATGCTAGAGATTTAGATACTTTTTCTTGCTTTCTTTTGCTTATTTCCCTTTTTTTATTATTTATTTATACATGAGTGTGTTTGTGAGTTGTTTATTTTATTCAACTTAGCTCTAATGCTTAAGCTTAGCTTAAGATTTATTTTTAAGCGTCTGCTCAATTTGACTATTATTTTACGCATTTAGGTACGTGAGTTGCATATGTAAATAAATAAATAATTGTGTGTCCAATACAAAACTGATCGTTGCATTGTTTAAATCTCAAATTGTAAGTGTAAGCTGTTCTCCAAAATACGAGACTTGATAAAGTTATCGAGCGATATTTTTTACTTAGTGCTCGTCGGCGGTATACGCAAATAAATGAATTGAATATGTATCAATCAATCAATCAATATTTTTTTTTTTTTTCGTTTATCTAATATTATACTACTCTGATAACATAAACACACATACATTTATATTCGACTATAATCTTAGCTTATCCCTTGCTGATGTTAACTTTAAAAGCAATTATTTCATGTTATTTTAAAGTAACTCATACGCAATAGTAACTACGAGATTTTTTATTATATAAATAATATGATTAAATATGTATAACATTTAATACATTATCTGGATAATTGTAAAAATGTATACGAAATGTGTTAAAACATACACACCTACATTTGATTTTCGAATATATTTTTTTCTATTTTTCGTTATGTTTTCGTACACATATACCTAGCACATGTTGACATGTTGATCAATCATTTTGATGACCATCACCGATGAATCCGGAATATATTCGTTTTGCCAAAACGTCTGCAATGAGAAGAAGACATTTTCAGACAGCCCACAATGTGTATATATGCTTGATCAACATCAAATTCTACAAATTTGAAGTATGGCTATCTCGGCGACTGTCTGTCTGTCTCTCGCCGTTTGTGTAATGTAAGCGTTAAACATTCTCCCGACCGCAAAAGTAAGCTATTGGCAGAAACATTCTGAGTTCTTGCATGCAAGTCGCTAATGAAAATTGGTCAAAGGACACGTTTACAGTATTACGTAAACTGAGAACTCTTCTGTTTTTCAAAAAGAATAAAAAATTGGCTTTTGCTCATTACCCGTAACATGCAACAGTTAAATGTACAAAAATTTAAGTAGTATCTGCACAAAAAAAGTTTGTGTTTTTTTTTTGAACACGTTTATAACGCGTATCAGCAAGTTTCAAAAATTTTATAAATTCTTGGCCAGTTAGAGATTCAGAATATATTTGGTCATGTAACCCCGTACTCTCGTTCGCAGAGAAGGAACTATCGTCTAAAAATTTGCAAAAGGCTTTGAAAATGATCAAAACAAGTCAAACAGGTTTAGGTTAGCCTACAAAGTCCACAGGTCCAAGCAATCAAAACTGAGAATATCTTTGCTAATCCTGTTTTTTAACAAAATTATTCTACAAAAAATATAAAAAATCAGCCACTCCCATCAAATATTACAGAGTATAAAAATTCATATTTTTTTACTTTTTTTTTCCAATCTTTCATCAGTTAGTGATGTGGAAGTGATCGATCGGTCGTAACCGAATATAATTTTCGTACTTGTTGCATTTTTAGTTTGTTTTTGACAAATATAAAGGGTACGGTGCGCTGCGCTTGGCGATTTTTTGCCATAGAAAAAAATTGATTAAAAAATCTATATCAAATTTTATGTGAAATATTTTTCGTGTTGTTGCGTGAAGTGCTCGAAATCACTTAAAACGTTGACTATGCCGTTAAAAAAGGGAAAAATCTATATAATTATTTATATATAAGCTCTTCACAGAAATTCGAGATGATATTAATGACAATGTCCATCTAGGATGTCCCAGCGCGACGACAACCGATGAACCCGTTGAAGGAAATTGTTATGGAGAATCATCGAAACACTATTAGAAAAGTTGCTAAGGATGGTGACATATCAGTTGGCCTATGTCATGCAATTTTTCGACTGCTTTGGGCATAAAACGTGTGTGGCAGCGAATACGCGAGCCTGTGTATTACCCTTAATTCATTCTACTATTTGGTCGATAAATTTCCTTTCATTTTCTTTGAAGTCTCGTAATGTAAGAAAGAAAGAATTTTTTTTTATAATATTTCCAATTTACATAACAAAGGCCTTATAAAGTGTAAGCAACTGCCAGGTGACAATAATTTAAATAGAAATATAATATAAATATGTGTGTGTATAATCATTGACAAAATTGAAGCATTTTGTTTTGCCTCTATGCGTACAATACGCTTTACAATATAAATGAACTATATGAATAAATGTAAAAACTTGTGCTCATTTACTCGTGCGCCTATTTTCATGCATTACCTGAGCATATGTTCAATGTGTGTGGGCAGACTAAGAGATTTGTAACAAAAACGTGTTAACGTGTATTTAAGATTTAACTTTGCAGTTGACCGAACGCTGCGCATTCAAAAACATCTCTACTGACTGACTGCAGTTGCATAACTAAATTCTAGGGTTTCACAGCTGAATGGCATTTTATGAATGCCTTTATAGAGAGAAATACCAGATACCTTGGTTGCAATTTAAAAATAAACTTGAATGCAAGCTATTGAGAATGAAAACAATTTCTCATTTTATAATTACAAAGAAAAGGAACTTTTATGCAACTTTCTAACTATTGGTAAATCATTGTTTCATATTATGAAACGAATTTAAATAATAAATAATAGAAGCGAAAAAAGCAAAAAATAAATGAGTAAATAAGAAGGTTATAAGAAATCTTATATGATTTTATATTTAATTTACATTTTTATGAAATATAAAGATTTTCTCTCATTTATTATTATTTCAAACTAACAAATACTAACTAATAAGAATAGAAAAGACAAATTCGATCGTGATCGAAACTCTTATGTCCATCGCTGTTGTCCTAAAACAGACGAGAAAAAGAAGAAAAAAAAAAAAAAAAAAAAGGAAAAGAACCTAATTTTCATACTCGATAATATTGAATGCACGGGGATGATGTTTTCCAATGTCAGTCTAAAAATGAAACTTTATATCATGTATGTGTTGTACTTTATGAGTAAGAAATAAAGAACACGGAAACACGGTAAACAAATGTGTCTACAATTTATGTTGTTGTATTAGACATGTGGGCGTCGAAAAGTTTCGAGAATTTTCAAATTCTTTTGCGACTTTATAAGCGTTATCCTCAGTTTTGCGAATGGGAGAGTCTTCAACACAGATACTACACGGCTGGCCAGACGGACAAATGGACATACTAAGATGCATTCGGGATTTGAAATTGGCAAAGATTTTATACACTTTATGGGGTTTTTGAAGTTTGCTTTTGCGCCTTATAAACGCATTGAAATACATTCAAATATTTGTCGATTTATCTTCTGTAATTTATGAGTAATGAACAAGAAACCAATTATTCATTCGTTTTGAAGAACGGCGCTGTTCGCAAATAAATTGCTATATGGATACGATGAAGATATTTTGAATTCTTATAATAAACGAAAGTGTGCGATCACACACACATTAAGGTGTTCATCGATGATCGATGATCATTAAACATCGATTGCACTTTGTATTGCTATTCTTTTTTATTCGCGTGTTAGAAACTAACTTCTCATACTTAGATCTGGGGGATAATAATCTATGAAAAATATAGCTTTCGTTTTGGTATTCAGCTGCAGGGCAGAAATACTAGTTATAAGTGGTGTTAAAACTGGGTTTCATTTTCGATTTTCGACGAATTGTATTTATGCACGGGAGTGGCTAGAAACGCTCTCTCAGAAACTGGTGACGCTTTGCTTTAATAGTAGTTGTTCAGAGCTGCATTTATAAGAGAACACAGCTGAAAATTGAATATAAAATAAACTATGAACAAAATTGTTTGCTTACAAACAACTGACCTTGTCCGCTTGAGTAGCCGAGTAGGCGTAGGATCTCGACTAACAATATATAGGTCATCGGTTCAAATCTCACGGGCGGGATAGTTTTTTCAAGAAGGCCTGCAGCCCTAAATGCTTGTAGGCTTTAGCCTTAAAATTTATTTCCCTGGCTAAATTATTTAAGATAATAATAATAATAATAATAATAATACAAACAACTGAACTAAAACAAAACTTTAAATTTGTAAAATGTAAATCAATTAATTCTTTTGCTTCTTTCTTTTTACTCTAATGTCTATATATATACTCTAAATAATACTCTAAATTGCAAAATGTAAATTAATTTTTTATATGTTTCAAGGTCGATGGCGTGTTTTAATAGAAGAGCGAAAAAGCAGATATGATCCAGGGAAGGTTGGAAAAAATTTGCAAATATTTGAGCAGCCCTTCGCGGCCTTTGTTATGGGATGTAAGGTGCAAAGGCTGGAAATTCAGAATTTAACTTCTGCAGCTCCGGCATCTTATGGACGTTTTGTTACAGGTCTGCCAGCTGAACAAGAACCGGCATATCTTCTGCACCTTCAAATTGAATTGTAGCGTAATATAAAATATATGGAATAAATGCACGTTAGTAAAAATTAAAAAGTTGGACTTTGTCTTGAGAAGCCGATTAAGAGAAGAAAATTCATTTTAAAACATTACACATTACATACGTATACATTATTTATAGGTAAATTCATACGTTAATGTATATAAATATATAAGACATAAAAATAAAAAAAAATTAAATATCATGCTCCAGGCGGAAAATAATGAATGAATACAAAAACGAAATTTGGGCTCGCTTAGTCTACAATAAATAAAACTTTCACGATTGGCCCGCTACCGGGACTTCGTTGAGAAAAATTATTGATACTCAATTTGCTTTTCGGTTTGTATTTGTCGTCCGGTCATACCTGAAAAAAGAGATAAAAATGAAACATAGGCAAACAAGATGTTAACATAATTTTTCGAAACTTACTTCTCGCCTTTATGCCACATTTTTGTTTTGTAAGGCAATTGAACTTAGTTTCAACAAGCTATCCCGCGTTTGACATCCTCAGGCAATACTTCAGTTAAAGTTTTCGCCTATATCTGGGTGACGCATGATACTAGAGAATATTGCCTTCATTTGTTCTTTCTTAATCGACCTGTAAGTACCAATGGTTACTGAAAAGAATTTACACAAATGGCCAAAGAACTACTTATACATTGTTCATTTTCTTGAAGTTAAAAAATAATTAGTTAATCTTGCACTTCTTCACTAACTGCTTTTCTTCAAGTCATGAGCTCTTCCTGCGTCTCTGCGGAAACCTTATGTGGCTATAATCAAAATTGCCTGCACCTTACTACCCACAACTGATTGGAATTTCAAGTAATTGCATGCCGCATAATATGTATAACTATACGCGTCGGTTCGGGAAGCAATGCAATTCATTACTTGCGATTTTTAATCGTTATATATATATATATTTTTTTTTTTGTTGAAAGGACTTAATATTCACGTCATTTTATTTCGTCAATAATTTTGCATAATTTTGTTTTTATTTACGTTTGTGTGATTTTGTTATTCATTGTACGTTTTTGCAAACAACCAAACGTCAAATTTATACCTTATTTTCTCATTATTTTTTCGAAATAAATTTCGAATAACGAAAACCAAATATAACTTTCAGTCAATGCATTCTCAATGTACGCTATTCAATTGAGAGCCAGTTAACCAAAAGATACGTAATTAGTGCCCCAAATACAGAAGCGAAAGCTAATTTTCAGCTACCTCAGCTTACCTCTCATCCTAATTCTCGGGATTCTAGGTTTGTACGGACGTATGTATCACTTGAAAGAGCCTATGATAAACACACACATATTATTATATTCATTGATTCAGAATTATAATTTGAATTGATCGAAGCTTGTTGGTATGAAATTACTATTGCAGGTTAATTTTCATCATCACAGATTAAAATTTCGACTTTACTGCTCTACAAAGTTGGAGTCAAGAAATGAAATAATTTTTATCATGAAGCATTGAAAATTACACTTTATTAATACAACTTTAAATAACGCATACTAAGTTATTTTGCTTTCATCTAATTTGGCTGATATCGTAGGGTACATGAAGCAAAAAAGAAACGAAAGTCATCAAACAATCCTGAATGCTATCGCATATGTGAAGCAAAACTATTTGAAAAACGAAAACGTAAGCCAACTCTCATATACGTGATTATCAATCATATTTCGATATTGATATTTGAATGCATGATACATGAGATGAATGCATTCATTGTGCTATCGCTTTGCTTTTACATCTTCCCTACCGTTGCATTCATTCATTGCAAAGGTAAAGAATTTTCGAACACAATGCTTAGGACCAACAAGCCTTACGATGAAAAAAGTTGAAGACAATGAAGAACAATAGAGTGTGACTTGTTACTTTCACTAGTTAGAGCAAAGCTTATTGATAATCCGATAAAAACGAGATATTAAACGAATTATATTTCTGTTTCTTTCTACTGCCATTGTTGTTTTTCTTTTCATTAGAAGATGATACACAAAGTATGAGCACACATAAGCGTACGCATACGCACTTTGCTTTCGAATTGGTTCGCTTTGTTAAGGGAACATTTATGAACATACAACGTTACTTATGTACGCAGGTCTAAGCAAATAATTTGTTTTCGTTTCGTTTCGTTTCGTTTTAGTTTATGGATGTTGTTGTACTAATTCTTTTCATTAAATACATTATTTTGCATTCATTAAAAGGGCGAAAGATCAAAAACATATTTGAATAATTTATTTGCTATTGATCTGAGCATTGCTTGAAAATTTCGCAAACTCTCTGTTGCGAACTTGCGATCTACGCAACAATAAGTAATGTTAGTAATAGTTTGTCGTAAGATCGGCAGTCAAAGAATTATGGCATGTTATTGATAGGTAAGCATGTATTCTTGTACTCTTGCAGAATGTTAAAAAGAATATATGGGTTTCGAGAGTACATTTAAAATGTATGTAAATGAACGAATATGAAACTCCAAGGATCAATCATTTAAGCATATATATGATGCGGAATGTGTGGACTTGTTTGTATATGGACACGTAAATATGTCATAATATATATATATATATATATATATATAAGCTATTGTAAAAATATTATTCTATTCTACACTACTTAGGATGCAAACATATATAAAATTTTTGTAGAAAATATCCAACGTTTACCGCATACCGATCGATTCAAAATCACTTGCTAAATCGATCTAAGCCTATCCGTCCGTTCTATTTTCTTATCTTCTTATCTACTGGCCTTGATTTTTGAGATACTTTGTCGAAATTTGGTATTTGGTCTCAAGGATGAATGTTATTGAAAATGTCTCGGATTGAATCACTATTTTGACCACTTCCCATCTAAAGACCTATTTTAAAAAGTCGTTATATGAACAACCGTAGAATGATGGCCCACCAGACTATTTTTAGATGTATTAAAAAATTGCAGAGAAAATATAAAAGTTGGGAAAAATATCTTAAAAAGCTTTAGAAAAAGAAAAACATGAACTTCGGACTGCGTAAAATAGTGAGCTCAAAAGATTTCCAAGCAATATGGTGAATATAATGAAAAGAATTATGTTTGGTGTTTTATCAAGATAAACATAAATGAAAGCGAACCATTTGCTTATGGCTGTTATGCATGGCGAAGGATAAGCAAACGATCAATATTCTATAGCATAGCGTTGGAAGCGTGTATTCGTATTTTCTGTTCGTAATGTCTGTGTACGGCCCGAGTTCGTAACACATAATAATAAAAACACAAAAATAGTTCGTTTAATATCTGTTTTCGCATCGACTTGTTAATCAATCTTTCTTTACTCGTAGAAAAGTAACGAGTGTAAACTCCACTGTTATTTATTCTCTTGGCAAAAACACAATGTTGAAATTTGTTTTTTCTTGCTATTGTTGTTATTATTGTCGTTAGTATTTCTTGCGCAATTAAAAGTGGAATTTTTAGCAAAATTCTTTTAAGTTATAAAAGTATAATGACTGAAGTAATTTTTTTTTTTTTTTTAAATAATCAATCAATCAGTTTAGATGAATGTAAAAAATAGTTTTCGACATCAAGAGTAGGGAAAGCAAAAGCATACATATTTAGAGTTGCCAAGTTGTCGTAACATTATCTAAATTTTTTGCCTAAGTATAGTTGACGATGCAACGATAATAATTTTATTCAAAATATTTGCGAAAGCTTGCTAGCAACAAATAGATTTTTACTAAACATAAATACCGGGACACCGCAAAATCACTTAGGCATATGACTTGATTGTATTGGTATATATTATAATTGTCATGTATAGAAATGTAGATTTAAATTGAAAGAAAATATTTTCTTAAAATCATTTTTCTAATTTTTATATTCACTATAATACGGGAAGAGAGAGAGAGAATTTCAGATACATTTGCGAGGGAAACTTTTGTAAAAAATATAAATTATATAATAGCAGAGCAGAACGTATAGGATATTTTTGTAGAAATATTGTAAGTGGGGCATTAGCGAATTACTAAAACTAAATCCTTGTTCTTGCTTCAAGTCAATGTTAAACAATTTTTTATCTAAGACATTTTTCTACTGTTACTTATAAATTTTTTTTTTTGTTTCGCGAAATTTTCCGAAGAGACTTTTATCGAGTCATTATTCGATTGTTTTAACTTATCCTTATCTGGATTTGCTGGGTATGTTAGCGCGTTGTTGCACAGTAATAAGTTCTTGAACATGCCTACGATCTCGACCTATTGCCCACAATGCTTTATAACATAATTAGTGTTTTTCTTGTGCTCTTTAGCGCGATACAGAACTTGACTTCACTTATATATGTAATGTAAAAAATTCAGGAATGACTCCCTAATATAAATGTTTATTTTATTTTTTTATACAAATACCTTTTTAGTACGACAAAGTTTTCTCTCTTTTCTTGTTTTGGCTTTCTTCCCATAAACTTCCTTTTTCTCGCCTCGCTTTCTTTTACTTTAACATATGTGTGTTTTGTTGCTTACACATGGCATGACTGCTTTTCTCTCTCCTTAAAGCAAAATTTACATGCACATCTAATTCTCTTTTTACACGATAGATACGTTCCAATGCCATATCCGATTTGTACTGCGAGCTTTATATAGAGTGTGAGAAAACCATTGCTATTAGGTGATTGTAGCAATTTTGAGAGTTTTTTCCAGTTGAAAAAGGCATTCACTGAAAATAATTGTTACGATATATATTAATAAAAATATTTTCCATCGTTTTGTACAACTTTTTCCCATCTTTCTGACAATATGGTGACACAATGTCGAAAGAACGATATTGCTTTGGCACTGATCTAATCTTCGACCTATTTTCGCACTGCTTCATCATTTCGAAACTGTGTGCCAGCAAAAGCCATGCTGGACCGATCTGAACAAGTGGTAATGAGAAGGCGCTATATCTGATGCGTGCATCTTTGACGAGGGGGTGACTTTGCGTCTATTGCGTTATTGTTGGCCTATTTTGTAACAATGCACGGTTCCATTTGTTCACTTGAAGTCGGAACACGTTTGCTGTAATAGTCTCATTGAAACGATTCGAAATTGTTGTTGTTGTTGCTGTTGATTTGATTGTTTCATGAAGTGAAGCCAAGTTTTAATGCGATTTTTTCTCGAATTTGATACAGAATGCGA